TTTTTTTTTTTTTTTTTCAAGAATTTATATACAAATTTCATTGATTATTAATTTGAATTAAAACAATTGTCAAGAAAACAATCAAAGTCAATCTGTATTTTAATAATAATAATTAATTCTTTTTGTAATTTTATAGCTTAAATATTATTATAAAATTCATAATGTATTGCAAATAATAAAAATGGAAAAGAAACAATAACATTTTAAGTTTAATGGATAAATGATTTTAAATAATTCTTTCTAAGTAATGATTTTTTGCAAATTGATTTATAAAATTTCAGATTAATCATGAAAAAAATGGTTTATATATGTTTTAAAATATACAATGTTAATAATATCTCACTTTAATATTGATGAAAAGACTGCATAAAAATGTAGTGTTGTAAATAATTACTTTCTATGTAATTAAAGTAGAAAAAGAGAAAAATGCAAAAATGTAAGAGAAATTCAGAATGAAGCTATTAGAATTGATTTGTGTAAATCGAAGGAATAGGAATTTTTATTAAGAAAGATTATTTTTAGTTTTAATTTTATTACAAAATGTAATTTAACTATATTAGAAAGTAAAAAAAGCTAATACTATTATCTCATTTTAACATTTTTGATCTAGATTAAAATTTTAAATGTTGTAGAATGGAGCATTGAAAAACTACATTTAAAGTAAATAATTTAATTTAATAATGCAAATGACAATCATTATTTATGTACAGAAATTCGAGTTTTAGTGATTTGTACTTTTACTTCTAGTTTGCATTATTTTGAGTGGGCGCTTAGTTCCCATAGCAACGGACTTGTTTTGTAATAGCAGAAAAAGCAGACGACGAACGGATGAAGGATGTCATCTACGATAATTTACTTCATTAGGCCTTTATCTTCGAGTTCTCCTATGAATAAATGGAGAATAGTTCACGTATGCTTGTATTTAGTAGCACTCGGTGGTTGTTTTTCAGCAATATTACCTTTTTATCATTTTAAGGCAGCTTTCGAAGGTTGGTGTCCCTTATACGCAGATGTAGTTGTCGAGCAATTAAACGATTCGTATCAATTCGTTTTGGATATTTCCTACGAAAATAGGACCGTTTGGGGTTCAATGGCAATATGTGATTTTTGCCTTTTTACTCCTGTTGTCTGCTTCATCTACGCCTTTGTATGGGGATGGTTCTTCTTCCTCTGCTCTGGAAATGGAAGATTAGGGTTAGTCTAATTCTTTATATCATTTATTATAAACATTATTTAATACATATTTAATTAATAAAACAAGAAAAAAACATTTACAAATTCATTACAAAAGATAATATTTGTAACTAAATAGTTACAGGTAAGAGGGAAATTCCATTTTCATATAGTAAATTATTTATTATTTTTTTTTACATCAAATATAGAAGATTTCAATTTAAAATTCTGTTTAAAAATGATATATTTTGTTTACATTTAAATTAGATTTAGTAAATGTTTATTATGTTAATAATGATTTTAAGAAATTAGAACATTTATTTACATTATCTGCAACAATGTTTATGAATTGTATCTTTTAATAGAATATTTATTTAATAAATTACAAATTTTTTACACAACTTTACATTATATTTGCTATTTTAAATGAAATTACTATTTTAAGTATCATTATTTTGGTTTATTTTTAATTTTTTAAAAAATTGTACTTATTTCCACATAATAATTTCATATTTTACAAATAAACGACGATAAATATGATATTTTTTTTTACTGATTAATGTGCATTATTTATAAAAATTCGAATATTTATTGATTTATTTACAATACACTTCTATATATATCAATTTTTTAGTATATGGACAGTACATAAAACTAATTTATTGCATATTTTACTATATGTGCATGGGAATATAAATTTTATCATTTAAATTATATGTTTATAAATATTATCTTTTAATAATTGAACTAATATTAAATACACAGTTGAAGTAAAATACAGTAATAAATCTTTTGATTATACAGCTACTACTTACACAAATTTAGTATATAGGCCTATAGGTATATAATAAAAATTAAATATTTAATATTTCTTTAATCCTGATAAAAATTTATTTATTTGATAATAGCGACATGTTTTATTAATAAAAAAAAAATATAATAATATCACTCTATCCTACAAGAAGGTTATAAAATAAATGAAAAATTTAAAGATCTTGTTTTATACACAAATGTAATTTAAGTATATTTAAAAGAAAAATAATAAATAAGAGTTAATGTAAAAATATGTTATTTATTTTCAGAAATATTCATTGTAATAATTTTCTTAGTCTTGTATTTGATGATGATAATTTTTATTACAAAATTTCTAAAATATTTTTAAAAAAGCATTTTATAATGGCATTTCATATTTTAGAAAATTCGTTTTCAATTAAAATAAAAAAATGCTTGCCTCTTTTTTAAATTTTTGGATAATTTTAAGAACTAGAAACAATTTGAAAAAGTTTAATGATTTTTAAATTTAAAACTGGAGATAAATTTTATATTTTTTTTTAATTCATGCATAATTCAGAATATTTTTTTTTTTTTTTTTCAAGAATTTATATACAAATTTCATTGATTATTAATTTGAATTAAAACAATTGTCAAGAAAACAATCAAAGTCAATCTGTATTTTAATAATAATAATTAATTCTTTTTGTAATTTTATAGCTTAAATATTATTATAAAATTCATAATGTATTGCAAATAATAAAAATGGAAAAGAAACAATAACATTTTAAGTTTAATGGATAAATGATTTTAAATAATTCTTTCTAAGTAATGATTTTTTGCAAATTGATTTATAAAATTTCAGATTAATCATGAAAAAAATGGTTTATATATGTTTTAAAATATACAATGTTAATAATATCTCACTTTAATATTGATGAAAAGACTGCATAAAAATGTAGTGTTGTAAATAATTACTTTCTATGTAATTAAAGTAGAAAAAGAGAAAAATGCAAAAATGTAAGAGAAATTCAGAATGAAGCTATTAGAATTGATTTGTGTAAATCGAAGGAATAGGAATTTTTATTAAGAAAGATTATTTTTAGTTTTAATTTTATTACAAAATGTAATTTAACTATATTAGAAAGTAAAAAAAGCTAATACTATTATCTCATTTTAACATTTTTGATCTAGATTAAAATTTTAAATGTTGTAGAATGGAGCATTGAAAAACTACATTTAAAGTAAATAATTTAATTTAATAATGCAAATGACAATCATTATTTATGTACAGAAATTCGAGTTTTAGTGATTTGTACTTTTACTTCTAGTTTGCATTATTTTGGATTAATTTTTTTCTGATGAGTTTTAGAATTTCGAATATAAAAATTTGTTACATTTATTAATATAAAAAATATATACTCAAATTATTACAATTAATTTATAGTACAATTACTGAAATTTAAGATCATCATTTACCATGAAATTCTATTGATTAAAAATGTTTAAGAAGGAATAGTTTTGAAAATAGCAGATGTTAATTGCTATTCTTTTTAGAAAATATTTTCTATTTTTTTCTGTAGCGATTAAATATTCATTTTCAACCTGTTCGATATAAATTTCGATTGGGATTATACTCTTCTATAAAAATATAACGGATACTTACAAATTATCCTTTAACGTTGACTTTATCGAATTTTCGTAAAGGTCATAATGGAATGACAATTTCACTTCTTATTTCAGATGTAGTTTATTCCATTAAAAATGATAACTTTTATATGTAGAAAATCATGAAAGATCTCATTCAATTAAATTTAAAATTACATTTTATATCGCTATTTAAGTCAAAGTAATAAATGTAAAGCAAATTGAATTTAATATCAATCCTATACCAATATATAGCTATGCCTTTTGTTTTATATTGTTTATTAAACAATCTATTGCTAACTTTTCAAAGTAATATATTTCTTTTTATAATAAAGCATTGCTGGAATTGAAATTCATAAAATTTTATTTCTTTTTTTTAAAATTTACACAAATTTAATTGACTAACGTTTAGAATAAATAAAGAAATAGTCAGGTTGTGGTATAATTATATGATCGATATGCTAAAAATGTAGATATATTTAAGGGTTTCTTTATGACAACTTGATATTGTATGCTAGATGTTGCACGACAATCGATTGGGGATTGGGTAAAGAGGACACGGTATGACCTCCACCTTGAATATTTAGGTCATTCGATAAAAAAAGATTTTTTGTAGAAAAATAATTTAGTGTTATTTAATTCAAAATAATTTAATAGATATAAGATGTAGAGTATCTGTTTAAAATAATATAAATGAAATAGTTTGAAAAAATTAAGTATTTTTATAGCATTTACATCCGTTGAAAGTTTTAATAATCGTCATAATTTTAATATCAAGAGAAATTAGTGTTAAGCAGTTTAATTATCAAACTTTTAATCTTATTCAAATTTAAGCTTTGATTAGACTCATATAAAATTTTAATTTTAATAAGTTATTCATTATTCTATTTATTCTGATAAGCATTAAATCTATTTGAACAGTGTTAAATGATATGCTGAATATTTCAGATAAATACCAAGAGAAATTTGCTTAGTAAAGTTCAGTAATCCATAATTATTATTTTTGTGTAAGTTTTCGTTTACATAGAATATTTTTATTTCCCATTATTCATATTAACGTATTCTTACCACCTCACTGCAGCAAAAAGGAATATTTCCGTATCGTTAACGTTTAAACAAACTCATACGACGAAATCGATCAAATAAAAGAGCAACAACGGAAGCATCTCGTTCTCCTTAATTCATTCCATCTTCAAGTTCTAATATTCCTCTTTGTATAATTATTTTACAGTTAAAGAATACATTAAACATTTTTCATTTTATAACTGAATGAAAATAAATAAATAATTTTTATATGTGTAAAACACAAATTTAAAATAAAAAAATAAATGCTATTATATGTTTTATAAAATACAGTTTATATTATAAAAGTACAATGCATTACAATTTACTTAATTAATAGTTATAAAATTAGCATTTTACATACTAATTAAAATTGCAATTCTTCTTGTTATATAGATTTTATTTCCAATTTTAAATTTTATGGCAACTAAAATATTTTATCTTAATATGAATTGTGTAATTAAAGATTTTTACTTTATTTAGTTTGTTTTGCTATTTTTTTTTAAAATAGCAAAACTAGTATTGTTTTATCACTTCTTTGTGTTTTATAATAATTAGGAGCATCATTTATATGCAGATTAAAATTACTGTATTTTGTATCTTTAAAATTTTAAAAACTAAAACTATTTTTAACATACGTAATAAGATATTTGAAATATATGCAGATATTTAAAGAACATTTAATAAAAACTTTATTCTTAGTTCAGGAATAGTCTGTTTGAATATATAAATATTTATTACGTATTATTTTACAAGAAATTCACTTTCCAAGGAAAAGTTATAGCTATGAGTCAAAACCTAGTATTTTTTTTTCTTTTTAACCTAAAGATATTTTTATGTATTTATAGGAAGAGCAAGTTATAACATCCAGAGTTTAAGAATTTTCATAATATAAGCTGCGAATGTCTATATTAACTTTCAGTCGCTACGACTGAATGTAGCTTAGACGTTTTAATCAAGTTTGTATCTGTATTATATTTTTTGAATTGTAAACATTATACAGTACAAGCAGAGAAAAACGAGAGATGTCAGTGATTTTTATATATTTGTCATTAATCTCCTATTGCTATAAACTTTTATAACTTTGTATAACATATATTGCCGATTTAGGAGCAAATGGAAGTTGAAAATTTTTAATATTAGAAAGACGTGTCTTGAAATTTTGTGTTCTTTGCAACAGTATAGTACTTTGATCTTATTCCTTAACATAAATACAACAAGTAGATTTTTTATTTAATTATATTTCTATTCATTGTATTGAATACAATTTTGTCTTCCAGTTTTCTGAGTTTTCTGTCTCTCGTGGTCTTTAGCAAAGAATATTTATTTGCTGGTTTTTATTAAAATTCTTTGTAATTTTCATCCTATTTTGTTCGATATATTATAATAAAACACTTCTGTAAATATTGCTGTAATGCAATATTTTATTTATTTTCTAGAAGCATTTTTGTTTTATGAGAATTTTTCTACAATTATTACTTTATTATAAATTAAAATTGACCTTCGTAACCAAATTTTAAGAACTTTGTTGTATAAAGGCATTCATTGCATTAACTACAAGAAAGTCAAGCATTCATTTATTTCATATTATTTAGCTGTATTTAAATATACTTGAAGAGGTAGGAAAATAAAGATCCATTTGTTAAATATTTTGAACAAAGTATTCTTTGTTAAAATTAAAAGAGTAACATTACTCTTGTTAAACTGTTTACGCGCGAATGATTATCGGGCTTTCATGTTTTACACATTGTAAACATATGCACTTTTTAAGGTGATAATAGAGCAATAAAATTCAGACCACATCATGAATATTGTTTTTCTGATATTGTAACGATTAGAACCACTAAAATGTGTAAAGTATTCTATTTATTTGATTAGTTTGAGACATTGCAATATAATATAAAATAATCTTCATCGTTTTGTTTGATTAAATTTTTCCAACTTGATTATTGTTATCAAACATAAATTCACTTTTGTTTCATCATATATTATTACATTCGCTATCAGCTACAAACAATAATAATAAGAAACAATAACGAAGTTTCATATACATTATAAAGGGTTTTCATATTCATACATTTTTATATGAATTCAAGCAAAAGTTGTAAAAATAGGATCTAATTTTTGCATTACATTTTTCTGATGTAATAATGAAGTTCTTACTGCATTTCTTTTCTAGAATTGAATCTTTTTAAAATCAGATTTTGCTAAATAATTTTTATTGTTTGAACACATCTATATATTTACTACTAAGCAAGAAGTTTACAATCTAATATTATAAAATAAATTTTTAAAACAAGAACAATACCACCGAAATTTGACTGTTTTTTTTTCAAATTTTCCATAAGTTAGGAGTTCATTCATGAAATAATGAATACTCATGTTGTGAATGACGTCAAGAGTGAGTAAGAATGAAATAGGAAACTCAAAAAATTTTTATTTGTGTCTTAAAACTATGTGATTATTACAGAAGACTATTAATAAATTTTCAAAATTTTTATTGGGATTAATTAATCGTTTGTTATTTTTTGTTTCTTCATTAATTTTCCGTGTTTTGTTTTTAAAGTAAATTTTTGATTTTGTTCTTTTTAGGTTTTATTTTTTAAATCAAAATTTATTTCTTAAACCATGTGAGAATTGCACAGTTACTATGAAAATAAATGATTGTATAGTTGTACGAAACTTTTCTGGCAAAGAAATATTCTCCTAAAAGATTATTTGTTGTTACAATTTTTGATTTTGAGTTAGAAAATGTTCTCCTTTCGTTGGAGAAAGAATTAAATTTTCAGCAAAATGTTTGATGTTATTTCTTGTTATTATTGCATTTACAGTATTTCTTTTTCGAAAATATATTTTTCGAAAAGAATAATTTTAACTTTTGACTAAAATTCTTATAAAATTATCTTATATATCTGTTAGGATTTGGGAACCGTGGCGTCTTATAGTTCCTGCAGCAATCTTTACCTTAGTGACTGCAATTGTAATGTTTGTTGCTGCTACTTTAATGACGCAAGGAATGATGAAATTTTGTGAAGGTTTTCAAAGAAATAATTTGGGAGGGTGAGTATTATCTTAGAATTATTATTTTTTAAATAAAAAAACAAAACTAAAAATTACTTTTGAAAATAAGTAAACGCGAAATTGTGTGAATTATAATTATGTTTTATATACAGAATCTTTCAAAAATAACTTACAGTTTAAATACAGATAATTTTATCAATGTTCGTGAAAACACACAAAAAAGGAATTTATTTAATTCAATTCAACATAAATATTTAGCATGTTCTCATTTTATTCTTGATCCGTCAACAATCTTTCAAATCTATAAACTGCATATCTGAACATATTTATTAGAATAGTAGACTACTATATTTCGTTTTATAGATTATTTTAATTGACAAAATTAAAATAAACTGTTCAAATTATATTTTTAAAATGGTCAAAGCCGAAAATCCATAATATTACAAATATTGTAAATTTTCAGCTATACCAAGTTACAAGGAACTGCATATTAATAAAATTATTAAAAGGTATTTTACACGTGGAAGTATTTTAAAGTTTTTTTTATTGAATAAATTGTTAAAATTTCATTTTATTCATATTACTTAATTACTTATACTGATAAATAACAGAAATACGAACAAATTAAAATAACAGTTATTTTTGAAAGATCTTATAGATTAATTCTTATAATAGAAAAACAATTTATTTACATTTAATTTTAGTTATCTATAAATCAAAAGTTACAATTAAATTAATAATAATTTAGCGTACGTTACTAAAATTATAGTTTTTACTTTATTTAATTATTTTATAACACACATTATAATTATTTATTAAGTTTAAAACTATATTCTAGCGAAATAAGAAATGATTTGAAGATAAAAATGAACAACAACAATAATAATTAAAAAGTTTTAGACTTATTTCTCTATGTAATTACGTAGTTGAAATAATTTATTGTTGAAAGTACTTATTATGAAATGTATAAAAGGCTATATAATTTCGTTTTAAATTATTAGCTAAAAATAAATAGTTGAAAGTGCAATTAAAAATCTCATTTATGTGTATTTAAAGGTATAAGAATAATTTTTCAGTTTAGGAGTTATTTTAAATTTAATATTTTTAAAAATATGCATATTTTCTTCCCATTAAGAAATGAGAAATTATTCTAAATGTAAATTTCCCTAAACATTTTTAAAATTTTTCTTTAGAAATCAATTAATTAAAATTGAAAGACAGGATTTAATATTTTAAATTATTGTTTAAAATACTTTTATGAAATAACTACAATACAGTTAATAAATAGTAAACCTTTATCAATTAATAGTTCACATTCTAATAATATAATATCTTAGATTTTCAGAATTAAAGTTATATAATTAGTTGGTAAACTTGAAATTTTACTTAAATTTAAAATTAACGTTATCAAAATGTATAGAGATGACGAATTAAATTGAAATTAAAAATTTTTAGGATTATTAATTTTATAAATTTTAATTAAACAAATTAAAAATATGATTAAAAATTGCAGCCTGGCATTGTGATGATGTCACAATAAATAATTTCTCGTTATAATTAATAATATATTCGTGCTCATTTTTTTATTCCGTGACCAGGGGCGCCCGTTCATTAGGGCACTTGGGGCACGTGCCCCATTTGCCGTTGGATTTCCCTGAAATTAATTCCAAAGGAGCGCTAAGCTTTCATTTTACTTTTGAATTAGTTACTCATTTTTATCACAGAAAACTTTTTACCAATGACAGAATTAAAATAAAAATATTTGTTAGTAACCGAAAATTTGTTCTAGAGGGTCGTAATTGTTTATTCGGTCGAGTACCGAGGTACCATTGTATTTGATTAACGCGATTTTGATATAAGCGGATTAATTAATCGCGTTAATCAAGGGATACCTGTATATATAATATATATGTAGCCTATATTTACACTATATTTCATGCATTTGTATGTAATGTATTGATTTTTGTTTTGTATGTCAATGAATGTAATGTCTGATCTGTTGTGATAGACTTACAAGTGTCATTCGGAAGTGTTGTCTTTTAATTAATTAAGATATGATTTCTGTAGTTTTTTTGTATTTATGATCTCTGATCTTGCATAGTAATTACGAACCCGCCCGTCTCTCCAGCAGGCAACCCTGAGCCAGCAGTTCGTCACATTTTTATCATTAATTATCTTATTATTTTCGTCGTTATCCGTCAAAAATTTCTTATTTATTACACACGGAATGCGAAAAGAGATTTTTGCTTTAGCGAATTCCATTTTCAATTGCCATTTCAGGAAATGAGAATAGCAAACTAAACAAACAATTACTGTATTTGTTTATATTCTGTAAGATTTTACTATTACGCCTAGTTTAGACGGGTGGAATTTCTGCGGAACAGCAGCTGCATCAATTGCTATGGCATACTAATTTAAATATGATCATTCATACACCGTTCCGCAGAAATTCTGCTCCTGAATCGGATCTTAGCGAGCAATAATCTGTAATTTTTACACAAACATGATTTGATTTTCGAGAATTGCTCTATGCCACAAATAAAACGTAAAATGCAGTTATTCATAATGAAATTTTACACTAAAATCTCATTGAAATAAAATTATAGCATTTAGAAACTATTTTCTTCTCTGCGAAGAAAGCTTTACTAGGTTCGAATTCGATCTAAATTTTTGTGTTTTTTTCTCAAACTCGACCGTCGTCGTCCACAATGAATTTAATTGAGGCGTTTTATAGCTTTTATCTGCTGGTATCATGTGTTTAAAATCAATTACTGATACTAATTTTCCAAGATGAGTCATATTACAACATAGATTAAATTAAAGTACTAGTGTTCATTGTATTAATGTTAAAACGAGAAAATAGTTTTTAAAAATATCAACTGGGAACTGTTTATTGAGAAATGCAAGTGTTTTTATTTAAATTTTTATAATTTTTCGCTTTTATATTTTGTTATTCGGATATTTTATGAAAAGAGATTTTTAAAATTGCTCTATACAGATATAGGGCAAAATTTGACGTAAATCGTAAAAAGTTTAAAAGTTGTTCTTCTATATCCATATTGTATTCTTATGCCAGAAGACAATGATTTAAACATTCAAATTATTTACGGATAAACAGTTCAATTTAATTTTTTTTAATATATATATATTTTTTTTGTTTTGTTTTATCACCATCAGATCGTGAACATTCATAGAATATTTTACATTTAGCAATCATTCATGGCTCTCATTAACTAATCTTCAAATGATATCTTCAAATACTGTATTAGAACTGTTTAAAAGTATTCTATAAAAGTGAATAATTCATTTATTTTAAATACTAAAAAAATCTAGAAATTGTGAGCGTTTTTATATATATAGGAAAATAACTACAATATATTTTTCTGTGATAAGAGAAAATCATTGCATTTCTTATTTATAAAAATGTTCTATTAACAGATATATGTATTTATAGAATAATAAGTAGATATTAAGGCTTATCTTTCGAAATATACTATACTGTAATGTAGTTAATATCGATTGCTGTTATTCTATGACAATCATTCTGATTGTTCAAAGTTTTTCAAAATTGTACTAACAAGTAAGTAAAGTTAGAGATCACGCATTTGGAGAGAATGGAAAACTCGTTTATAGAGTAAAGAAACAAGAGATTCTGATTTTCAATAATTTATTTGAAAACCAAAAGCAAAATTTGTTCTGATACTGAGCAAGTGATTTTCTGAGACGTGATGTTAAAAGTGTTCTCACATGAGAATGTCTCTGAAATCTAATAATGTTCAAAAACAGTGTTTTCACAGAAAATCATTAAACTTACACACACATATGCACATACATACATACATACATACATACATACGTACGTACAGTACATACATACATACGAATTTTGGCACGCTGTTATATTCTATTAATATAATAAAAGCAATAAATTAATAGGTAACATTTTTGAATTATTAATTATTATTTACTCATATGTACAAGTACAAGAAACATGTTCTTAAAGTTCGAAACCTAATATAAAATTGTATATGTATGTGTGTTTACATAATATAGTCTATATATGTATATAATATATTATGTATCTTTCAGAAAGCATTTAAGTTATTTTAAATACTTTTTAACTTTCTAATTATTTTATATCAATCTAATATACGGTAATCAAACTCAAAACTTTTTTAAGTTATTGTGACATTTAATGAAGTTTTAACCTTTAAAGCGATTGATTTCTGAAACTATTGATTTCTGAATATATAGTAACTATATCAAGAGCTGATATGTATTCAGATATCGATCATTTATTTCCATTGTTGTCTACTGGTATAAAATTCTGCCTTAAGTTAAACACCACTGTTTCTGTGTAATTTGGTTAATAACTACCAGAAGCGTTACATTCCTATATTAACTTTAACCATTACATTAATTTATATTCGAATTTATCAGAATAAAAATTTTAACGAGAAAAATTCTAATAAAAATATTTTAAAAATAAAGTAGTTAGTCATTTATCTATACTGAACATTATTACAGGTGTTACGTTGTTATTTTGCATATATACCTTTTCAGAGTATAATTTTTCATTATAAACGATTGTCTTATTTCAATTCAAATTTGGATAGTGTTTGCAGAAATAAAAGAATTTCATCATACAAAAACTGCTCAAATTTGTTATATATTATATATTACAACAAAATGCAAGTAAAATAGATAACTAGGTTTATTATATTAGATAATTCTGAAAAAATATGAAATACTTTCGTCAGTAAAAATTTGAATTTCTTTGATAATTGATTGATATGAGAAATGAACTAGGAAAATTAACTAGAATTTACTATCTAAATTACGCAGCAGGATGTACAAAGTCATTTCAAAAAGATTTTCTCTTAGAAAAATTGATCAATTTTCTGATATTGTCTGTAATGGCGTGATGCAGCAAAATTTATTGTTACGTTTATCCCACATATTAAGTTTCTCGAATAATGAACTAACTAGCTGGAATATCTTATATTTTATTTCAAAATCTTTACTGTTATTAAAAGTGA